ACTGACTGCCTCACTCTTTCGATATTTTCCGGGGTTCTGATGGTCCGTTGAAGTCCATTTCTGGGTTAAGCGACACTTCCACACTCCCGAAATGAGTTAACCCACAACAGAATCGAATTACGGCCAGGAACGAGTCTGTGAGGAGGAACTTCAAAGCGAGCGCGGAAGGCACGTTGCGTAGCAACAAGTGAGCGACCTTTAGAAAAGAAGCTCTCGACTGCGAAGGCCTGCTGCTCTCTAGTCCACAGCATGATGACAACTGACTGGAAGGAGAAAAAAACTTGGGAACTTCCCCCTCCAGATACGCCCTCTCTTGCCCCTCTAACCGCCCAACTCACCACGCGGGAATTTTTTCAAATAAGTAAGTTTCTCTGGCGCACCCTGTACATCCAATCATAAATCATAGGCACAGAGTGATAGGAAAATACAGGGTCTTAAGCTTAACTTGCAACCCATGTCTGAGAACACTTGTTCTTCTTTGGCAATTTGGCATCTGCGTCGTTTTTCTTTTTTATTTTATTTTATTTTATTGTGACCATCCAAGATAGCCGTGCCTCACACGTGGGGAGAGAAGAGGAAGCGATCGTCAGGTCATAGCTGCAGTAACTTTCATGTTTCTGTGTTTTTCCCATTCAAGAGCTTGTGCATCGAAAGCATTTCGTGCTGCACAGACTGGGTGGGGAGGGGTGAGCAGAGACATGATCAAGAAACAAAATGTCTCTTTAGGCAGTTCTGTCCAGTATGTGGAAGTTATGACTGTTTATGAGTTTATTAACATCAATGTAACAATAATTATTATTCAATAAAAATCAACTCTGAGAGTAATCAGAAAGATATCTGGTGAAACATTACTGCCAATCTCTTCATTATTTATAACAATAATCTGTTGTTGTTGTTATTATTATTATTATTATTATTATTATTATTATTATTGGATCTGATTATTAAGCAAATAAGAAAGCCTTAATAAAATTATTAAAAATATTAATAAAACATAAATCAGTAATAAATTAATAATTATTGAAAATAATTAATAAAAAAACAAAGTATAAATTTCGTAAAATAACAGACTGACTGTCGAGTAAATGCTCAAAGTCATCACCATTTGCCTAGAGACGAGTGTTTACTCTTTTCAGTGTAGTGGTTGTAGTACATTGAAGGCTAACAAGGACAGAATAAATGATTTCTCTTTCTTGCCACTAAAATTAGCCACATACTCTCACTCTGATGTCTGAGGGCAAGCGGCCGCAGGGTGCTATAAGTTCAAAGGCATGTCAAAGGTATGCATTGTCAAATTGCAAAAATGCCAAAAGAAGAGGTGATGTTTCCAGACATGGTTGCGAGGTAACCTAAAGACCTTGTATTTTCTGAGTATAAATTTTTGAAACTTTAAATGTTGATACTCTGCCTCTTGCATGAAAAGCATACGATGTACAAATTTCCTGTTATCAACTCAATCATGTGGACATTGAACAATGCAGATTTTACGAACATTCTATTAAAAAATGTTAAAGAACTATTAAACAATCAGAGGCCATGAACAAGATCGTAACAGGAAGAAAATCTGGTGATGGAAGGGAATGTGTTTCAAGTGGCATCATTTGACAAATGAACGCAAATTCAATATGCAAAATTTTCATGGGGCCTAAAATGTTGGAGATCAATACACTATAGTAGAGGGAACGAAAAGAAAGAAAAGATAAGTGATTAAATGGTAGGGACAAAAATCATGATCACAATGCTTTATAGAACAAGAAAATAATGAAAGTTTAGACGATACCAAGTTTTGACAGTCTTGTCAACAAGACACTATTATGATCATTTGACTATTTGCAATTGTTTTTATTAAAAAGTAAGAATGGGTTTTAAAAAAAATTAAAATTTTAGGAGGCTCTGTCAAATTTAGGGGGTTGTGTAAGATTTGGGTAAATACAGTATGTATAAAAATTACTAGAACATTATTTTCATGCACAGGACTCCATGAAATCACTTTGCTTCACATTGATTATAGATAATTAATTTTGCTGTAAATTATCTTGACATTCTTGGAACAAAAATATTATGAACATTAGTTGTACATGGTATTGCAGAAAAAACACCATTCTTTCTTTTTCTATCTTTCTTTTTTTTCTCTCTCTCTCTTTTTTCTTTTCTCTCTCTCTTTCTTTCTTTCTTTGCGATGTATTTGAAAAGTGTTACAAGCGACAACTTTATCTGCGAAGAAAATTGAAAATCCATTTCGAGACAGAATGTAATGAGTCAATAATGATTTTGAGATATCCATTATGATGATGGCAGGAAAAACTATATTCTGGAAGTGGCTATTGAAGACTGACAAATTGCTCTATTCCCCTATGGAAATTTTGTAAAGTAATCAAACCTTCTACGAGTATGTCAGTAAATTCAAGGGTATAATGTGATTTCCAATGCACAGGTCACGAGCTTTTATTATATTTCAACTAAAAATGTTTAGTGTTAGATGTATGTTTATGAATATTCAAATTTACAGTAAAAGTGATTATTTATTCATTCTCTTATCGAACCTAAAAAATGAAGGTTTGCTATTGAAAGATGGAAAATATCAGTTTTTTCTTTGTGATACAATTGTTTGAAGTGTGTTCTATTAATAAAAAATACATATAATAAAAATTAAAATAACAAAGGTAACAAGGGGAAAAAAATATTCAAAATTGAAGTTTGATTTCACTTTTCAGCCCATTAATATTTTGTATCTTTATCTAGAATTGCTGAATTTATGCAAACAGAGGAGGAGCATATGAAAAAAGTGTCTGCTCTTGAAAGCAGATTGAGTTCCCTTCAAACTGGATCCAATCAATCATCAGCACAATTGAGTATCCAGTTACAGAAGACACAAGAAGACCTCCGTATTGCTCAAGAGGAATTGGACAAAGCAAAGCATGATTTAACTAATGCAAGGGTGGAAGTTGCTTCTCTTTCAGCAACAGCCCAATCAGCAGAAGACAAGTATGCCCATGAAATAGTCATGCATTCTACAGACTTACAGGTGAGAAAAAAAATTAAGAGGGGAATAAAAATAAGAAGGGCAGTATATAAAGTGTAAAGTCAGTTATGTTGATATTTCAGAAATGTTAATGAGAAATACTTTGCACCTCAGAAGATTGATGAGTAAGAGATTAATGTTAAGTTCTCCAGTGATATTTTGCAATTTTCAATATTCCTAAATAATTTTTGTTCAGTGTGTTGTGTCAAAACCTGATGAATTCCAGAATCTATAATTTTTGGAGAATTTGTTTGGTTGTGGCTGCTTGTGAAGTGTGTAATGAAAAATAAATGAGTTTGTCGTGAACAAAAATGACATGTTTACCTTCTCTTTGTTGCAGACCTTGCTTACTGTGAAGAAAGAGCTAGCTGAGGTGTCTGCAGAAGTAAAAGAATTGCGAGGTGCAAAAGCAAATGCTGAACAAGCTTTGGAGCAAGGGAAAGAAAGTTGGGAGGAGAGAGAATCTAAGTTGCTAGAAGAGTTGACCGAAACTCAGAAGCGAATCACAGATTTGGATTCTCATAATGCCAAACTGCATGAGCAATTAGAAGAATTAAGTTCAAAAGTTGCCATTATTCAAGCTCAGGTAAATGTGTGTATGTGTTTGTGTTTGTGTTGGGGGGGGGGGGGCAATCAAACTATACCTTTTCATTTTCAAAATGAGACCAAACACATTCAAATTGAGGACAAGCACTTACAAATTGCGAACAAACTCGTTCACATCGAGACAAATCACACTCAAATTGAGGCAAGTCATTTTCATATTGAGACCAAACAATTTCAAAATGAAAAGTAAACAGGCAATTGTTTTGTTGACAAAACAGGTTATGTGCGTAGTTACGTTCTGTTCAGTTGTTCCAGACAAGTTTTTCTCGTTGATTAATAATGCTGTGTATTAAAAAAGAGAGGCATAAATTATCAAACAGAAAAGATATGCTGTATCAACAATAATGGAGATTAAAGAGGCCTGGAAAACATTTGGAGTAAAAATAAATTACTGCTAATAGATGGGTGAAGAACCAGAACAGAAAACCACAGGGTGGAAGGAGGATGGTGAAAATTCCAGAAGAACATTGTGAGTTAATTGTTTATATTGAGAAGAATCCAAGGCTTACACTTAATCAACTTTGACGCAAATTTCAAGAAAATCATAATATTGTTCTATTTACGGAAACGTGTAGATGCACTTTTATGGATATTCAAAGACCCATTCATAACTAACAGTGATGAAATTAAACCAAATGTCATGAATAAGTTCTGCAGCCATTAAGGCTCTCAGACTGCGTGGAAGAACAGCAATGGGTGTGGCGCGGAATGATCTGCGCTAATCACTGTGGTGGAATCCGCGGGAAGTTCACACTGGAGTGTCAGTTATGACTCGGTGATTGGTGACGGTTTTCTGCATCCAATAAACCAACGCAAGGGAAGTGAAGACTCCTGAAGGTGGTTGGACTCCCACAAAACCAGAGCGTCAGTGGTCGAAACAGGTCCGTCTGCATTCCAAAATCCGGGGGTCAGAAAACGCTGCCAATTCACTGCCGGGACGCTTGCCTGCCTTGCAGATCTGAACATGCTCATAAGGCAATACGTGAATCAAAATTTCCACTGCGGCCCTTCCGCATAGGCTGCAGGTCTTCCGTGCTAGTCTGTGGTAGCCGAATATGTTAGCAAGCAGACAATGTTCCTATTGTGTACAGAACAAAACTAATTTTAACTTAAAATTATATACAATCAAATGTAGCAGACAAAAGTTTACATTTATTAAAATTCTTGATACTGCACGACATTTCAGCCCTGAGAATTGCCTAAAATCTTCTCAAGGAAATCTAAAATATGATAATAACTAAGTAAATATAATGGTACAGAATGAAACACAAATTTGTGTGCATGTTAATTCACTTTTGGTTTATAAAAAACGCGGGTTACATAACCAACTGAACAGCTAATCAATATTAAGCAAAACATGAGAATGTGTAAGTTTATAATACCTGTGTTTCTAAGAAATTTTACAGAATATTGCATCAACTTGAATACCTGCTTCTAAATTTAAAAATACAAGAAACTTTCTCTGAACTTTATTTTTTAAACAAAGGATTAGGGCCTTGGAAAACAAAATTGAAACTGTCCTACCTCATGTTGTATACAACAAATTTTATGAATCACAAAGGAAGCCACTTAACAAGCATCAATTGCGACTAATTAATAAAGCTAATAATAAATTTGTTCACATTTACTATTCCATGTTGGATTATATAATCCCCAGGGATATTAACATGTACAAAAAATGGTTCATAAGTAATAGCAAACATGATATTCCTGAAAATATAATCAAACTTTTAGGTATGGGATATAAACCCAGTCTTACTCCTAAGAACTTAGACAAGTTTAAAATAGAATTGATAAAAAATTTCGATGGTCAACAGTTGGTTAAATATCGTAAATCTGTTCCTATAAGGGAAAAAGTCATTTATATAAAAAGAAGACTCAAACCTTTATATAATCATCCTCTTATAATTGTTTTTGCCCAAAAACTTTTCTCACTGGAGTGGAGTAAGGAAACCAAAATTTTCCAAGAAGACAAACAAATTTTATTTACAAAAGCGACAAAGGTGGAAAAACTGTTGTAATAGACAGGAAGGAGTATTATTTCAGTATTGAAGAGATGTTTGCTGAGGATAACGCTGATGTCTTCAAAGAAATTCTGTCAATAGAATCGCTAAGGAGTTAAGAGATTTACTAAATAGATGAAAATTACATAAATATATAGGCAATAAGTCCTATTTCCATTTAACATGTGCGGACTTCCTAAAGTTCTCAAAAATGATGTTCCTTTCCGCCCGATTGCATCTTTAATGTCTTTGTTTGAACAATTTCATTAAGTTTGTCTACATGAACGTATCCAATGTGATAAAGACTCTAACTACTCTTTAGAAAGGAGGTGGTTTCAGGAAAGAAAATGCCAACAACTTTGTTTGTCAGTGTCTCGGAGCTGCTGAAAATGTCTACCAGATGACCATAGTACTGTTAATAGACAAAGTTTCTTGTCATTACGTCGTTGAAGAAATATTTATGGAGGAAGAATTTATAGAACATCACCTTCTGAGATTAAGTCCTTACAGTCCTATATTCATTCCTTTCGAACTTGACTGGTCCTCTTTTAAATCTGCTGTTAAAAAAAATCTGTCCATACAGTTGACAAATATTATCTGGTGAAAAAAGAACAAATACATCTCAAACAGAATTTGTGCTCCATGAATGAGAAGAAATTATAAATAAACAAAATCAATACAATAAATGTCAATAATTGTGCTCATTGCTCGTATTCAAACATTCATACCAGATGCTTTAAACTTAATTGATATGGTTTGAATTTTGAATTGAATTTGCCTTATTTTACGTGGTTGTGTAAATAATTTAATCTATGTTATTTTTCTGTTTTGTGTGTTTCAATAAAATGTATTCCTAATTTACATTTTTCTTTTTTTATTTATTTAATTACATTTTATTCTTCATTTTAATGCTGTGGATCTGAAACTGATCATTTATTGACAGAGAATTGTCTCGATTTGAACATGTTTGTTGTGAATAAACTTGTTTCGAGTGTGAAAGTGCTTGTTTCAAGTTTGTAAGTGCTCAGTCTCATTTTGAAGTTGAAAAGGTGTAATAGTCTTCAAATTTGTTTGAAATACGGCAGGATTTGGTGATATTTCTAATGTGCATCAAAATGGTGTTTCAAAATTTGTTGTTTAATGTTCGTGTGCTAGAGCTGTGAACTGCGAATTTATACATCTATGTTCCTCGGTTTTGTTGGAGACAGTGGCTAGTTTCCAAGTTTGGGAAGGTTTTCCTTAGAAAATATTTGTTTTCTGTCATCATCCTCTTCTGTCGTTGGATTTAGAATGCGTGGTGTGTTTTTTTTTTTTTTCTCTCCTTCTTTCTCCTTCTTCTTCTACTACTTCTTCTTTTTCTTCTACTACTTCTTCTTCTTTTTCTTCTACTACTTCTTCTTCTTTTTCTTCTACTACTACTTCTTCTTCTTCTACTACTACTTCTTCTTCTTCTTCTACTACTACTTCTTCTACTACTACTACTACTACTACTTCTTCTTCTTCTACTACTACTACTACTTCTTCTTCTTCTACTACTACTACTACTACTACTACTACTTCTTCTTCTTCTACTACTACTACTACTACTACTACTACTACTACTACTACTTCTTCTACTACTACTACTTCTTCTTCTTCTACTACTACTACTACTACTTCTTCTACTACTACTACTTCTTCTTCTTCTACTACTACTACTACTTCTTCTTCTTCTACTACTACTACTACTACTACTACTTCTTCTTCTACTACTACTACTACTACTACTACTACTTCTACTTACAACACTTGTGAAATGCAGATTTGAACTCGCCAAACATCGAACCGAGAGTCCGCACAGCTTTGTCGATCCTGTAAGATGCATAATGTAACAAAATCTCAGGAAAGATTTTATTCATTCTCATTTTACATTATTTCACATGATACAATGCTGTTCGTTTGAAATTCTCTCTTTCCGACCCATTAAAAATATTGGTCTCTATGTATATCTACTATATTCATGTGATATTTTTATCATATTTGCATTTTACTGTTACATCAACATGTCTTATGGTCAGGGGGAAGAGCAGGCTAAATGGCCTGAGCCTCGCCCTCAATAAAGACATTTATTTATTTATTTATTTATTTATTTATTTATGAGTGTTGTGACGTGTAAAAACAATTTCTAACTCGCTAGGTTCAACCTGTTAATATAAGACGATCGCTAGTTCTTTGAACGAGTCATTTAAGGGGAGAAAAGCAGTCTTATATGTGGGTAAAGACAATATTTCCACGTTATACATATATTGTGGAAAACAAATCAAAGAAATTGATGTTAATTTTCAGGGAGTTCAGCCTTCCCCTAATACAAGCTTCTCAGAGGATCCTGGAAACAAGTGTGTAAATACATCTTTCTCTGAAGATGAGATCAAATCAACTGATCAGTTAATGCAGATAATAAAGTATCTCCGAAAAGAGAAAAATGTAGCAATTAATAGGTATGATGTTCTAAGAGCTGAAAATATGAGACTCAGTTCCCAGTTGGAATGCATTAAGAAGCAGTTAGATGATGCTAAGAATGCCCTTAATGCAGAAAAAGAGAAGTCTGATGTAACTGTGCTTACTACATCAAAACATTCTGAACTTCTGAGAAAGGTTAGAAAATTTTCCCACTAAATGTATACTTTACTGATTTGTCTGTTTCTTGAGAGTTGTAATTATTCTTATTATATTTCAGCTAGAAACACTAAGTGCCATTACTGACAGTAATAGGATGTTACGCAGTGAACGAGATGGCTTACAAGCTCAAGTGAAAGAATTGCAACTTAGAGTAGACAGTCTAGAACAGGAACTAGGCCCAATGCGGGAACAGAATAGGGATTTGACAGCTCGAGTTGATGCATTAGATGCTGAGAACTTAGCACTTCGCAATGAAGCTGGCCGCTTACGCCAACGTGTTAACTTCCTCATCGAACGGTCTAGTAAAACAAGTCCTGAAGACTGGCGAAGACTTCAACAAGAAAGAGAGTCACTTGCTCGCCAAGTCTCGGCTGATCGAGAAGCATTGCAGCGCAAAGATGAAGAAGCAAGAGTGTTGCGTCAGGAGAAGGCTCGCCTGGAGGAACAGGTATTTAGAAGTGTTATTGAAAAATATGCACGAATTACCAAGCACCCTTTTAAATATTGTATTTATGTATTGTATATGAAACTGGTTGTAATTAAAAAATAATTACATTATTGAAATATATGGTTGTATAAAACCAGCAATTTGTTAAAAATTTATATTTTGTTCAACAAAATTATTTAAATTTTTTGCATATTTCTTGAAAATTTTGAGTGAATTTAATTGAAGGATGGACTGACAGTGTTATTACTCAGTTTTGGTAATCAGGAGATAGAAAAACAGAAATAATTTGGTGTTGTGTTAGTATATGGATAAAATTGTTGGACCTTGGACCTTGGTGAACACTTCTCCTCTCCTTGGGAATATCTCTCATTTCTCTCCCCATGGATCTTTGACTGCAATGAACAGAGCATTGTCTCTAAGTAATAAAAATAAAATTTTTGAGAAATGGCTTGCTCTGTATTCGTTGTTACTAAACCCATAATTCAAAAGTTACGCATCAAAATTATCTTCCATGTTAACATTTTGTCACTCTGTGCTCGTTCATAGCACGTGTCCATCCAACACAGCTATTATGTTGTTTTCTTTCTTTATTAACATCAATAATATACTTCGGTTATTAATCTACACCTAGATTTTAATTGAATACACTATGAAAAGTGTAGTAAATGTATAAACGGAGTAATATGTGTAGTATATGGAATGCTGTGGAAAATTGATCACGAGATTTCAATGGAAATGCATGTTTTGGGGTCCTTAAATACCGAAAGTGTTTTTTTCAAAACGTCCGTCCCTCTGGTATATGTGAACAACACTACCGCGTAAATCATGCGTAAGATTTTTTCAAAATTGAAGAGACCTAGGTTTGGCTTGAGTCAATGCTATGCCATTTTGAAAAACATTAATTATTGGGGCTCTACTTTACATTAAAGCCCCCAGACATTTTCACAATTTTCTCAAAATGGCATATTCTCTTTAAATTTCTAGTAAGGCTAGAGTAAAATACGCTTATAAAAGTAGCACATGTCTGATTTTTCATGGTCCAATTTTCAAAAATTTCAAATTATTAATATTATTATTATTATTTATTATTATTATTATTATTATTTTCAGGATTATCCTGCAACTACAAAATTGAAAATTCATTTTTCCTTTAAATGATATTTATTCTCCATTGTGAATTCTTTTATTAAGGTCATGGACACTTTTTTTGAAAATGTTTGTTGTTTTTGCAGAATATTGCGAGCAATATGTACAATTTTTAAAACATTACAAAAACAAGATTTTTCTCAAGCGGTACTAAATTTTTTCTTTAAACTTATGGTAGAGATAGAGCTAAAGTACTCTATGAGATTACATTAATGCCATATTGCTCTATATCTTTTGATGTCTCTCTCATGTCGTTAACATTTGCTCCAATTTGTTCACATTATTGTATTTATGAGTACATGTGCTTTAAATAATGTCGTATAATGTTTCTCAAAAACAAAAGTTTTCTCTAAAAACTAGCCCAAAATTCCACATTTTCATAAACCATTTTCTCAAAAAAAGACTCCAAATTTTTTCTTCAAACTTTTCTAATGGATAATGCTATTGCACTCTTTAATATGATGTAAAGTCCATTTTGTTTCTTTTTTTAAATTATTTTATTTTAATTACACAAATACAATATTTTTGAAAGATTTCACACCGTTGATATGCACATTTCCAGCAATTTGTAAATATTTTTTTTATTTGTGAGTGAATGTACTTCAAATGACTCCTAATGAAGATTTCAGAAAACTCAAAAATTTTCTATGAAAAAGATCTTCAAAATTGGTATTTACAGTAGTGCTTAAGTACTATTTTCCTAAAATGGGGCCCCAAATTCTTTAAAGGAAATTGCTATATAGAACGAGGTTTTACTGTTCTTTAATATTCATAAAATACTATTTCCGTTTGACTGTCAGGAAACCGAAAAATTTCAAAAAATGTAATTTGGGCAGCTGGGAAGTTTGAGGCAAGTTCCAATATCTAAGCGAGACCAAGGGAATAGAAAAGTAATATGGGAAAGTCTGTGTCCTTCAGTAGCACCACTAGTTACTTTCTTGTCCTGATGATACCACCCTGATAATATTTTGGTTTGAAGAAAACTGAAAAGATTTCATTTGCTAATGGAATTAATAAAGAAGGCATTCAATCTCTGAGTGGTTCAGAATTGCTGATTCACAATTGGAATTAAATTTTTGGGCAGAGCATTGCTAAAATTCCTGGTTTACAAATTTTTTTCTCGTATTGCGACACAGAAATTCTGTTTCTTCTGTTCAATTGCTTGGGTACAGATATTAAGCAAATATTTGTAGTACTGGCAGCTAGATTCCATAAGACAATTGCAAACTTATGCCATATACTTTTTTGCTATTATCATATTTGAAATATAGGAAAGGGTTTCCTTATCGTGTTATCATAATTCAAGCAAACAAAAGTATCAAATGATACTTAGTTAGAGAAGTCTGCAATCTTGGAATTGATATCCTTATTCCAAAACTCCGTGATAAGAGTATGCAGTTTTGAGTCTAAATTTCTTTTCGATACATGGCTACGTTTCTTGCTGCCTTGTCTGAATCTTAATCAAAGTCATGTTAGATATACCATTAATAACTCAAGAATAGCCAGACCAATTTTAATTATCTCTGATTTGTTGAATTCATCTCTACTCCAAATAGCAGAATAACTATTAAAATTTGGGGGAAATTATCGAAACAAAGAACTAAAAACAAAACTAAATATTCATGTTGAATGCGACCCTTAGCACTCGGTAAGATTTCTGTCTCTATGTTAAATACCTTCTAAACGAATACTTTTAGGGCATTAAATACTAAAATTTTGAGGCCACCGGCCTCAAAAGAAACGGTTTTCATTCTGTAATATGCATGTTGAGATCTTCTTGAACATTCTATTTTATTTTTGCTGGTCCGGCCCTTCTCGATATTACCCCACCTGCTCAGAGACGTGCAGAATCTGCAACTAAATGTATGTGGGAGAAGAATATGTAGAGAGAGAAGAGGAGACTCAAAGAGATAACTCGCAAACGCAATAATGTATATAAGTCGACAGTACTGAAAATATCAAGAATGTGAGAGAAAAGATACCTCCTGCTTGCCTGCCTCCCAGCCCGTTCATCCTTCCTGTTACGAAATGCTTCCGTACCCCTAGGAGCCGGCGGCCCAACGCCCAAAGGTGGCATCATGGAGGGGGGCATTGTATTTTGTCGAATTTCACTTTATGGCGTGCCTATTCAGTTGATTTGAACGATTTATACTGCGTTGGATCGGGAAGCACTTCGCCATCGCGATATAAGCCCACAGTTTTGAATTTCTTCCCAGAACTATTCCAAAACTCATTTTTTCTCCAAAGAAGCTTCATAGCGTAAATTTCATATTAAATACAAATCATATGTCGCTTACTAATAGAAAATGGACTACATATTTAGACGATATTAGTAAATTTATAAAATATTTTCGCTTTTTTTGGTGATGTTACGTGGTGGCGACAAATTGAACTAGTGTCGGTACATTTAGCCTTAAAAAAGTGGGCATGGTTGTCGTGTGTGTTTATGTACGTTTGTGTGTATCAATTTCATCATTCATCATTACAATTGCACCCTATTCACCAGGGCTTCACCTGGGGTGTAAAAATGGAATCATCGTGAAAATGCTGATCCCCAAATAGAAAAACTAACTCTAGCGTTTTCGTTATACCGAGATGACCTCCCGAAGTTCCTTCAATACTTCATGTATCCTTTTTCTTGGTACCTGTGTCTTTTTCTGAGCGCCATTTTCCACAACTCGTTTACGAACACCTTATTTCTTAGCGATTGAGTCCCACTGCGCCCAGTGGGAGCTATTTCTTGCCAACTTGGTTGCCGTCCCGTCATTTTCCCATTTTCAAACATGTATCAATTCTGCGACGTCTTTCTGATCTTTCTGAAGTTCTTTGGATTGCCATTGGCCGTTAATCACAGTGACCCATAAGGTAAGAGACATCTTCTTTCTAAAGGATTTTGAAATTTTTCCTCTCACGTCGTTCTTCGAAATTTTCTCTAGTTTTTCTACGTTCTTCAAAATTATCTCCTCGATTTCTTCTCGAACCATTGTATTATTCTGTTATCTGTTGTTCCAGGTTTTCTAACAGCTTTTCTTCCGAAATTCTGGAATTTTCTGTCAATTTTTCTTCTGAAGTTGTGTAATTTACACTCCGTTTTTTTAGAATTCTGGAATTTTTTCTTCTAATACCAGATAGATTCCAAAAGTTTACGGTCGTCTCGAACAGAAAACTCTCTGGATCCTCTCCTGCTGCCTTCATCGCTTTAGCAAGACGTTCTTGTAATATTGCTTTCGTTCCGGTAGTATCTTGATCCCGCATCTTCAACTCTGATATTTTCAGATCCCGCAAGGTTTTGGTGAAACTTAAAAATTAAGGTTTTAATTTCCCACACGTTATACTGATTTGAACTCGTCCGCGAAATTGAGAGTCGGTTTTTTGATGCCCGGTTCGCAGGTTGTCATACGTCGTCTGGACTGCGTTTTATCATTGGCAGCAGAATGATCGTGCTGCACAGTCTCGGATTAATCCTATTGTCCTAGCCCGGCATCCGGAATAAATTTTGATGCTGGAATATTGGCTGGTAGGACCTTGGAGAATAGCGATCGTTTGTCGTATGTCTGTTGTCGCCGTTGAACGAAAACTGTCTGAGTCGACCGCTCGCTCCAACACTCTTTCTCCAATTGTTCAATCTTTCTAGAGCCGTCCCGCAAAATGCCAATCCTAGCCTTTAGCGCGAAGCTTTCCATAGGCTAGTTAAAAAGTTTCTGGAACACTCTCCCGAGTTCTGTGATAGTTAATAGAATTGGGCCAAAGGCGCCCTTCTGGAAATATGTCAATAGGGCGTGACGCAGGGGTCGCGCTGTGCGATGGGTCTTTGACTCATTGCAATCTCTCTTTCCTTCTCTTTCTTTCTCTTT